TAAACATTTTCTTTCTTTAGGTGAACTATATCTCAATATGCTAATGGTTATATATCCTGTTTACTATATGCTCTAATTTTAATTTTTTTGTATTTTTGTATTATTTTATAAGTCTTTTATTTAGATTTTTTATTTTTTGTGAGGCTTACGCATCAATCCGCCTCGTCTCATAAATAAAAACCGCATCAGTACTTAGTTTCGCCTTTTAAAACCTTGTCTATGGCAATAGGTAAGTTGATATCTAAGGATGCAGGGCAAGTCATGAGTGATCCTACTCTCTACAGGAGTGCAGTTTGTTCTTCTATATCTTACACACACAAGACATGATATTTTGCCTATTCTGTAAATAAAATGAGTAATTTTTTTCAAACTCCTACATATGTTCATTGGAAGGTTGTCAAGAGAATTTTTAGATATCTAAAGGGTACACTAAAACGTGGTTTGGTTATTCAGAGGAATGACAACCTAGTTATTATAGCAAGGGGCGGACGAACGGTAGGTCACAGTGGGGTACGTGACCCACCAATTTTTCCAAATTTTGATTTTTTTTTAGATAATAAAATACCACAAACAACCAAAATTGTTGAGAGTCCAATCCGCCACAAATTCACCCAATTCTGACTCCAGATTTCCCATTATGTGCGACTGTGCCGTGTCGTTCACTTCTTCATCTCCGTCCAGCATCCGCAAGAGCTTGCAACTCTACCGCCGCATTCTACTTCCAAAGGTAAAACCCTTAACTTCCAATTCTTCAAATATTCTATCAAATTGATGTGTGGTTGCTATTATGCAATTGTATTTGTTGTGTTGTCTGATTGTTTGATTATGGCAAAATTTAAATTTTTTGTTGAATTTTGAATATTGAAATTGAGTTGAAGAAGTTGGCACGTAATTTTTCTTCCTTTCTTTTTCTCCTTTTCTTTCTTCCTTTTTCTCCCTTTTTTCTACTTTCCTGCCCGTTTTCTCCTCTATGAAATTGATGTTGGAGATAAAAATGATGATGGAATGTTAGGAATGAAAGGGATGAACTTGATGTTGGAGATGTTCAGATTGAAACTTATGTATAATGTTAAGGGTGAAAGGTTTGAACTTGATGTTGCACAACTTCCTTCGGATTTGGGATTGAGAGTTCCGATATATAATTATGATGCTAATTTTTGATTGTGTATATTGAGAATAATATATTTGATGGTATTGAAAATGATGTAATTATGAAA